GAGCTTTTTCACATGAGAGAGTGACAATTAGCTCATGGTTTTGTTTACACTTGGTTTCCCAAGAGACACTCAGTTTCGTTTCCTTTTGGAGCTTGCCTTCAAAAACAGTAATTTTATTCATTAAATTCATGAGATTGTCCTTAAATAGAGACATAGATTGTACCTCGGAAGAATAGGAGTTGCAATATCCAACATCCATGAAGCAGATGTGCGCGTCTGCTTCGTCTTTATCATCACTCTCTGAAATTTGCAGCCAATGATCATCTTCCACCATCAGTGTTTTTTCCGCTTCTTTCTTCTTGGCCAGGAGCATCTTGTTTTTGTAGTAGTTAGAGTCCCTGACGACCGGCTTCCGACACTCCTTAGCATAATGCCTGGGCCTTCCACAGTTATAGCACTTCTGAGGTTCCTTAGTCTTCAATTCAACCGTATTTTTCTTGTATTCAGGTTTCCTTGAACTCGAGTCGGGTTTCCTTAAACTTGAAGAGGTTCTCAGTTTGTTGGACAAAGACTTTTTGTAGAATTTCTTCTGGAAAGCCTTTGTCAGAGAGAGCATAACTTGTTTGATGTCGTTCAAGTCCGAGTCAGAACCACTATCTGCTTTGTCAGAGTCGGAATCTTCACTTTCTTCCTTCTCTGCTTTTAAACTTCTAGAAACATACCTCTGGCCCTTTTCAGCAATAACAAGAGTTAGGGATCCACCGATGATTTCTCACTCTTCTTCTTGCTTTTCATTTTCCCCAAAACTTCTTCCTCATTCTGCAACGTCTCATAAACAACGTGAATGTCCATTTCTGATAGAGGCTTGCTCTAACTAATCTGAGAAAAAAAATCTTTTCCATTCCGGTTGAAGATTGCTCAGAAACTTGATGTTGTTCTCTATCAGAGTCTTCTGTATCCCGTTCTTTCTAATCTCATTTAATAGATTGAAATACCTCTCATAGACAGACTCAAGCATCTCACCTTTTCTTTGCTTGAAGTTCTCGTAGCTCTTGAGGCAGTTAGTCACTTTGATTTGAGCACCGATACCGCTCCACATCATCTGCTTCTCTATATGGTCTCACATGGTCTTCCCACTTTGTTTCTGACTGTCTATACTGGTATACATATTGTTTGGTAGACCTTGCAGAATGTAAGACCTCATCATCCTATCAGCATCAACTTGTGCCTTTTCCTCTCTGTCATGGAAGCATACTCTCTCGGCACTTGTTGTTGTACAAAGTTTGGCGGATTGGTTTTAGGAGTAGCCGGTATGATGTCCATGAAGACGGCTAGTCTATCTTTCAAGGATTCTCTCTTCAAAGGACAAAGTCTCTGTCTATCAATAAAATCAAGAAATTTGTCTTTCCATTGAGGATAATCCCCTCTGAAAAGGACATGAGGTTTTGTGTCCGAACTGATAGTCATTGTCTCTTGAGATGACATTGTTCTTAATAATCAATTGATCGTAGATCAACTCGTTGAAATACTCAGAAAAATAACTTAGAAACCACAAACTAAAATTTTTGTCGCACTCAACTATTTGTCGCACTCCACTTGTGGAACTTGTCGCACACCCAAAACTTGTCGCATCCTACTCTTTCTCGCACCTTAAACTTGTGACACCAATCTTGTCGCACACAAACTTGTCGCACCCAAACTTGTCGGATCCAAACTTGTCGCATGAAACGGGGTATGAACCGTAAACTTATCGATATAAAGGGTGCAATGAATGGGTTATATCATATCAAGCTAACACGATAAGTCTAGGTTGTCGGGTCAAGCTTATGCGATAACCAGAAGTTGTCGCATCAAAATGATGCGATAAAACCTAGTTGTCGCACACAACTATGCGATGACAATGAATAATAAGGATGCGATAACTTGACAGTTTTTAAGGTTTTTGGAAGATTTCAAGATTTTTCACAAGAATAGTCCAGAACCTCTTAGTTAAGAATATATAGGCTCGAAAATCGAAGCCTTACAACTTTAATTCTCGAGATACAACCAGAACTGAAAAAAAAAGCCAATAAAACAGTGAACTACAACTCACAGACGTGGTTTTCCAAGAAATGAGGCTGAGTCTTCTTCCAATGTTGATGTTCTGCTCTGATACCAATTGTTGTTTACCGAGATGTTTACAAGAAACAATGAAATAACCTTAACATAATGCAAATAGCAAATCAGCCGGCTTCTATTGACTCAAAATATGGAATACAAAAATAGTGGTTTTGCCTGAGGCGACGCTCTCAATAACTCGTTGATAATTACAATAAAGAGTTTACCTACTCTAGGGACTAGGATAGCTATATATACACCTTGACGGTATTTACATTAAAATATAAACCTAACAATATAAAATCTAAAAATACAATTTTTTCCAAATTATCTCCTCTAATGATCATTTAAAAAATTGTAATACAGAAATTGGTTCAAATAATCATTTGTCTCATCCAAATTGATTTTCTAACCATTTCTCTTCCAGGTTGATCTAAATGTCACTACTTCCGCAATATCTAGATCCACAATATTACAGATCTAGCTAAAAGACAAAAATAAAATCAAACCTGACCGTTGCAATTGCATATCTGTGTTGAATTTGATTTTTTTTTTTGCCTTTAGCTATTGCAGACATGTATATTACGAAAAATAGTGACATTTTGATCAACCCGGTAGAAAAATGGTTAGAAGAACAATTTAAATAAATGAAATGGTCATCTAAGTTCAGGACTCATTGTAATATTATCCCACAAACCATTTTTAAAAATTGAATGATTTAAAAAATAATAAGTAATAAAACTAAAAATAAAATAAAAATACCAAAATATTTTAAATTTATCCTACTTCTATGCTAATAATCATTATTATAGCATCATAAATTGTATTATTACTCTTATTAAACTTCATGCATCAAGTCATTCTATGGATATTGTGGTGGGTCCCAAAATAACATATCCAAATTACAAAAAAACCTAGAGTCCCTCCAATTGTGCCGAATTTGCCCCTACCAATTTTTATCTACGAAGTAGGGCGACCTCGTCTTGCTTACCTGTTTTTGGCAAAGTTTTTAGCAATATAAGGTAGAAGAGACAACGTCATTCAGAAGGGATAGAGAACGACTAATTATTAAGGTTGATGGTCCATTGACTGCTCGAGAATCCATACATCCCGTACCAATGTATGGAGAACTATCTCTCGAGCAGATGTTTAGGTTCAGTCTTAATCGGAAAAATAAACAAACTGATTTTACATTTCCTTCCACATCTTGTAAGAAGTATCGTTGGTATTGTATTCAGACCAATAGAAGAGCCAACCAAGCCAGTAGAGCCAATACTACACGTATCAGCCCGTTCCTCTTTCGATAATCCAGCGGACCCTCGTATTCGAACCCCTTTTTACCTGCAACAGACATCTTGGATCTGCTAATAAAATTCCATCATTTGAAAACTCTGTTTATTATGATCACATGTCAAGGCGTAAAATATTTTATTTTTATTATTTTATTTATTGAAGGGTGTGATTTAAGGAATTCTAAAGTCTTACAATATCTTCGAGTATTAGGTTACTGATCCATTAAGCCATCCATCTGATGAGTCGTTATACATTTAATTTGCTTTTTACATGATACTAGTGTCCCGTATCGTACGTTGCACGATTTGCACATTCATGTTTAGAGTATCTCTAACGTAGCCACCAAATTTTGTACAATATATATATATATATATATATATATATATATATATATACCATTAAGGTCTCAAATTAACATATTATATCTGACGCTAAAATTGTATAATGAATATTATAGACTCATCGATGTGCAGAAGCGGACCTATATATGAAGGATCAGGGGTCTCGTACACCAGGGGGCGGACCCACTATGGTCCATATGGTGGCAAGATTACTGTTTCGTTCATCTATCATAGTGTAAAATTTTGTAAAGCCGTAAAGGGTACCATCATAATATTTTGTTGGGTGTAGACGTATATATATTGAAACTATAACAATAATAATACAGTTTTTTTTTTGGTTTGCACATCTTGTCTCCTATTCTAGGCACAGGTTCAAATATTGTTTGTATCATTTTCTTAGTTTTTAACTGGCTTCTAATTTAAAGTTTATTACGTTTGTGAAAAAAATTACGATCAAAGACTCGAACACAACACCTTAAATACGAAAAGCAAGAGACTAACCAACAGACCAATGATGATTTTATATAAGAGAATATAGCTTTGTTTCTTATATTCAAATGGTACCACCACCTAAAAAAATTATTAGGTTCGCCTTTGACGTACACCCACTCAATTGATTTTCGCAAGTACAATTTTTTGGGAATATGAAATCTACACATATTAAACTTTACGAGGTGCTCTAGGATATTAGAAAATACAAAAAGCATTAACCAAAAAACCAAAAAAGTCCCTCAGAAAATCAACCAAAAAAATCTTTCGAAATAGTGGAATTCAGCTAAAAACACATCAGACTTACACCTAAGACGTAGCCTTTACGCCTTGCTCAAAAGGTCAATACCCATTTGGAAAATTGTATTATTCCCTAATTTGACACAAATGACTTTCCTCGGGTCAAACCGAGTTGACTTTTCCACGTAATCAAACAGCAACTTTGCAAGCATTTGATCCACTTTAAGCTGAAAAAAAGAACCTTAGATCCATCACTATCGATGTGGGATAACCAACCAACATTACAATTCAAGATTTTGAAATCCTCTAATACCTCCTCATTCATCTACCATCTTCCTTTTCGATATATGCAGATTTATTGACGTAGATCAATGTAGCCCAACTTGAAAGTTACCGGTTACAAACCCTTTTTACACAAACTATAAAATCATAATATTTAATAAGTCAACGGTCAAACAAGCAACATGTAAAACAAAAACACAAACATGTAGGTTGATAGAGTAAAACACAAGGCTTCATACTTCCACATGCAAAACCATACATAAAAGCAACAATACATATAACAAATAATAAAACCTCTTTATGTACATTTTTAGCAACTCTTCCTTTTCTCATACTCAATATTCTTGAAACCCCATCTCTCATCTATAAATACAATAATCCAAATACTAGAAATTGGTATATAAAATCAAGATTCGATAATTATGGATATTAACGTCGAAAATATCAACACTGAACAAGCTCCACTCCTGACAAACAACACACTTCTTCCCGAACCTGCACAGAAAAACCTGATTGAAAAAGCCATTAGCCAAACATTCGAAAGCACGGCTCACTTAGCAAATCTTTTGCCCACTGGTACGGTTCTTGCTTTTCAATTACTCGCACCCATATTTACGAACCAGGGCCGGTGCGACCCCGTGAGCTGGGATCTGACTGCCGGGCTCGTGGGTCTTTGTGGGCTGTCGTGTTTTTTGTTGAATTTCACCGATAGTTTCAATGATCGAGAAGGTAATGTATGTTATGGGTTTGCCACGATTCATGGGTTGTGGATCATCGATGGGTCGAGAAGTCTACCAGCAGAACTTGCAGTTGATTACAGGCTGAGGTTTATGGATTTCGTACATGGATTCATGTCGATTATGGTTTTCGCAACAGTGGCTTTATTCAATGAGGATGTTGTGAAATGCTTTTACCCTTCACCATCTGATGAAGCGAAAGGGCTTCTAACCACATTGCCTCTTGGATTCGGAGTTCTTTGTAGCATGTTGTTTGTTGTTTTCCCTACGAAACGCCATGGAATTGGGTTTCCAATTGGCACCAATTAACACTCGTAAGCCATCAAGTGTCCATAATAAGTTAGTTGTTAGCTGACAGTATAAACTAGTTGTTAGCTGATATACATGATAATATAAATTTACCTAAAAAAATAAGTTTTTCATTATTTATACAAATGTAAAAAATAAAAACCTTATAAATATATTCTTTATTATTTGTTGGTATATATTGTACAATAGTTTAATTTTCGACCATTAAACTTAAGAGGATAAAATTTTAAATAAAAATAAGAGTGAAATACAAGTTTGGTCATGGTCTAATCGAGTTGTAAAATTGTCAAACCATAGGTATTGAGTTGATATTGGGTTACTATTAATTAAACCCAACCCAACCCGATGAACCCGATATCCTTTTATTTCTTGGATTTAATATGATTGTTGAATTTCTATTAATATGTACATTAGACAATTACACTATCATGTATGTTCTTCATATACACATATTTTCAATATATTCACATCTTTATATAACTCATTCGTATATATGTTTAGTAACTGTGAATATATATATGTAATTGAGAAAATTAACTGAATGTGATATACGTAAAAAAATATGGATAAGTTGTATCAAATAATTGATGATGAAAAAGAAACTATGAGTAAAGAAATAACATATCCTAGGTTAAAAGAATATTTTAATGTACCAAAATATCAACCACCAACCCGTACGGGTTAGGTTGGGTTGGGTTAAGATTTTTCAAACCGCAAGCATTGAGTTGAGTTGCTCAAATGTCTTCAACCTGATCAACTCAACCCATGAGCACCCCTAATTACACATTTTAAAACTGCGTATCATTTTCATTGTGGACGTTTATTTTGGAATGGAGGGAGTAATAATTTGATGACTACAACGGGTGAAAAGTAGTTCAAGACAGTCATTCGAGTAAGCATAGAGTGAAGTACTTGAGACGAACATAATCATCGATGCATGTTATGGTTGGATTTGCAACTAGGGTTGAAAAAGACCATCTTAATCAAGAATTGATTCTCAAATACGCATCTTAATGATATCTTCTAAAATCAACTCTAAAACGTCAAACGCCAAAATGATAGTAAAACCATATGCATAACGACGAGAGATCAATCACCACGGAAACCCTGAAAACGTCAAAATGTTAGGTATTTATCAGCTAAAACCCACTTAGATCATTAATACAAGAAGCCAACGATGTTCTAAAAAGCATGCACACGTAGTTGAGTTACTGGTTTGGCACTTAATTGTCCAAAATATGATAACAGAGCGTAATCCCTATCCATTTCACTCTTTTGTCATTACATTACATCCAATTTCCAATGATATAATTACTCAACCGTATTGAAAGGATTACCTCCTATTTAAGAAAAATCGATCGATGAACACAAGTTGAGAAAAGTCCATTAATCCCTAAAATTTTCAAATGCTTATTTCAACTACCAGTAAGGGTTTAGTAATCGCCATCACCAATCCGGCCCACACCGCCCAGCCCCCAACAGAGAATCATGTGAGACACAAATTAGGTACACGACAACTTGCTAAATGGCTGGCATACAAGCTCCACGCCGATGAGGACCCCAATCCCGAAAAGAATTGTAACTTCGACATTGCAGCAGACTCGAACCCTTGACTTGACTATTTGTGTAAGTATACCACTCCAAAACCAACTAAACGTGATCCAGGTAATTAAGACAGTGAAAGATGATGCTCAAGTATAGGTCGCGAATTAAGTGGACCTAACTAATCGAAATGGTTGGCGGATACTTAAATGTCTAGGAAAACACTTAAGTGGTCTAAAAGCATATATTTTTAAAACAATGGCAAGAAACACGCGGGGGAGGGGCGGTAATTAGGAGTTGTAAATGTATGGCAAGTCAGGGGTCTTCACGGGAAGGTCTATATACATTTTACCCTTCCCAAACCCTACTCTCATGGTATTTACTAAATTCGTTTGGTTTGGTTTGGTTTGGTTTTTAAGGTAAACTAAGACATAACATGCCAGAGAAGATTCCAAACAATAACATAAAAACTGTTTCCTTCAAATGCACTACTAACCTTATTGAGTTAATCCTTGTTCAAGACTTTTGGAACTTTAATGTATGGCTCCTCATAACTTGGGACAGAAGCTATCATGGCCTCCCTGTTACCAGAGGATTACATTGTTCTTAAATTGTGTACGAACAATAAACACATTTATATTTTTAGTTTGTCCCATAATAAGTATCTACTTTCCAATTCTACCCTTAATTATGAGATGGAGAAATTCATTACTCCATCTATTATTAAGGGTAAAATTGTCATTTAGTTGATTAAAAAGTGTAATAATTCAAAACAATGTGTGCCTTTTTCACTGTGGACATTATTTTGGGACGGAAGGAATTATAAACAGTTACCTCTTGTCAAAGGTTTCAGGACTATCCTCGCGAAAGCTTCCCACTTCAGTATCTATAAAACAATAGAGCATGTTATCCCCACAACAAAATTAAGGTTGTCAAGTCTGCATGCTGAAAGGGAGTTGTGGACAAAGAGAAAAGGACATTCACACGATAGAAAATGAATCTAATCAATTCAAACAACAAATGAATATGATGGAAACAATGTACAATAAAGTTGTTATCTGAGGCTAGTTGGGGGTCTCCAACAGAACAGCCTCTATACCCCTTAGAATAGAGATAAGGTCTGAGTACAACAGAGTCCGTTTGGTTCAGTTTGGTGGTTTTATCTGAGGCTAGCATGGGAAAATGTAGAAATAAATAAAGTGAAAAATGGTCGTAAGCAATCAAAAGACAAATTTTTAGCAGAAGGCACCCAACGCAACATGGTGTACAAGACACTTTTTCACATGGTACAACAACTTCAAGCAGGATAAGAGTGTCCATTTACTCCTCCATAAATAAATAAACTAGCACAAAATTTTAGTTGAAAATGTGGTCTGTAATGCAACACATAGTTTTCAACACCTGTAAATGTCAATGGATGCAAGGCTGAAATATTATCAAAGCAAGCAATTAGTAAGCAAATTTGCATCTAAAGTCCAAGCACCTGCACGTATTGCTGGTTCAATACTTTGAAGATCCACATCTTGAAGTTGCCCAAACCTGTTCCAAATGTTAAGTTCGATCATCCAAACTCATTAACCTTAAATCCATTTGACATTACCACATTATTGGAGCACTGAGCATCATTGCACTTTGAACTGCTCCAATAGTCTTTGTTTGAATATTCTTTCAACACAATATTTGTTTGAACGTCACTCATCATAGAACTTAATCAACAATCTAACCGCGTGAAGTTTGTAAAAATACAGTGACATCCTCCATTGTTTTATGCATCTAATTTAGGAACAAAAAATATAAATTGGTGGATAAACAAATAACCGAACCACAGAGATCTAGCGTAGGTTTAATAGCTTGTTTTAACAACATCAAACACATGACATCAAGAAAAAAAACAAATGCACGAAAGGAGAGATGAATACCAGTCTACCACTTGCTGAATTTTGGGGGCAAACTCTTCAGCCTATATGCAACAAGAAAAAAGAACTCATGCTCAGTGTATGATATATAGTGGCATACTACTCCCTTGTACCAGAGCTTTTAGTTCCATTCCAAAATATTCGACTACCGTGGCTTTTATTACTAAAAAAGACCTACATGATGCACTTTGTAGTTCGAGGCTTTTATGCTATTAATGTAACATCCGCAACAATCCAACACTCTTTCATAATAATAAAAAATTCTCCCCATGAATAAATTGTTATCAGTTTTTGCTAAACAGATAATAATAATAATAAGTAGTTGTTTCATTAAACTCCATGCAAATTACATTACCAAATTAATTAAAAAACACCAATTATTTTTATGATCTTACTGACCTAACGAATATAGATACTTTATGCAATGTCTTCACAGTGAATTAAACTGGTGTGCAATATAAAAATGACATAATGTCTCCTTAACTCTTCATTTTGGGCAAAAAGCTCAATGGGGGAGAAGACACGTTTATCATTACACACTTCAGTTTTAACTGCATGAAAGATGTAGTGGGTACCTCCTGTGGAGTGAGAGAGATACGGGCAGTTTCTGCTAAACGAGACACATTAGGTCGCTCCAAACTGGAATGAACCGAGTAGTTGCGAACTCCAACCCTGAGCATCTCCTCCTTCGGTCTAAAGGCTTGACGAAATCCAGATATCGAGAAGTGATTGACCAGAATACGATCAGCTAAAAATGCTGGTGCTAGTAGAAGTAATGCCCTGCTTCCCATTTTTCTCTACGATCTAAAAGGAACATCCAAATACATGCATCAACACATATCATTGTTTCCTAATACTTTTACCAAATTTTAAGAGATAAAATATGAAACTGTACTATGCAGCTGGTCAAGAACCCAGGAAGTTAGGGGTGTTTGTTTAAGATCGTCATTGAAATATAATTTCTTAGATACTATTTTGAACATAAATTTGTCATAACCAACTTAAAAAGCCTAAATTGCAAAAGTTTGTTATAAAAAAAATGTATTCAGGGTATATGTTTTGGCATATGCCAATACTTGTATGAATCTGAAAGTTACATGTTAATTTTGTAGAAAGATCATAAAATGGATCGATCTGTAACATCCCAAGTTAGAAACTCAAACTACATTGCAAGCTATACCGTTGTAACTTCCAACAGTCTAGCACTTGCAGGTTCATTTTAAGGAATTCTTCCCACAAGACTTGCAACGTTGACATGCAAAGTTGCTCTTCTCTTGAACCATAGAACCATGCATTTTTATGAATTAAAAAAGAAGCTTCAAGTTAACAACTCAAACCACATTGCAAGCTATACCATTCATCATCTAATACATCAAAAGCAATGGAGTAGATGATGTGCAAACAGCAGCCAACATCTGCTGTCCAGGGCATAATGCTAAATTGAAAAATCTCAATGAATAACATCGAACTCAAGAAAAATGAATAATACATTACTACACATACAATATAAACTACCAATGATTCACAACACAACCATCTCCGGTAAACTACATACCATAAATTATTTTGTAAGTTGAATTTTTTCTCATTGGAAACTTTTATCAAGCACTTAGTGCTCATGAAAAAAAAAAACAGGAACAGTTACAATTGGGGAATTCACAAACCAAGATAGGAACCGAACACAGGGGGTGATAGAGAAAAAAGATGAGAGATGTTGAAAGGAAATCTGCAGACTTCAGAAAACCCAAAGGAAATATACCCAAACATAAAAACACAATAAAGATCCATCAACATAGAAATCATTGTCTCAAACCTAGAAATAGATAAGGGATTCATATACCTGCGATTAATAGGAGAGATCAGAGTAACAAGTAACGAGTAGTAAGGAGATGGACCAGGATCGAAAGATAGAGCGAGAAGACGAAAGAAGGAAGGGCAATGGGGAAAAGGGAAGCTTCTGAATCATATGGCTAGGTGTTAGAGGATGTGAGAAGCCATGTATCGAATGCAATAATACTTCGAAACACTATACAATTAACTCTAAACCGACACTGAAAATTTGAACAGATGGTTTGCTGTCCAGAACAGTGTTTAAGATCATCCCAAACATTAGCAAATTGCAATAGTAAACCATCCAATATACTTTTGCAATCATACCCAAATTGGATAATACTTTTGCAATCGTAGCCAAATTGGACAACCATAGTTTGGACAGCTTCCCCATAAGCTTTTAAGACTTATGAAGTAACCGTTAGAAAATTGAACCAATCAATTTCTACAAATTAAATAGAAAAACCCCAATTGCCCAAGCAATAAGAGAAATGAAACCTATTACGAGCCCCAGAGACATGATTGCAAATTGTTGGCACAAAATTTGACAATCATCGAAGACTTGTATCCATATAAACTTACAAGTTTATGTGAATCTAAGAAAAATTACCCGGCGACGGAGAAGGTGATCGGCGGAGGAGCAGCGTCGCTGCCGACGAGGAGATTGGGAAAAGGGGACTTGCTAAAGGGATAAACCTCCCCTTCTGTGTTCCAATGGGTTGAGTTTGCAAACGACCGTTTCCTTTGATTTTAGTTGGTTTTAGTTTGCAAAGTAATTATGGGTCCGTGGAGGGTATAAAAGGGTAATTGGGATTTCTTATTTGAAATAATTTTATATTTTTATAAAAAAGTGTTTATTAATTTATTAAAAGTTAGAATAATTTCACTGTTTTAAAAAAAATTATTACTGGTTTGACATCGATATAAGTTGTTTATTCAAACACTCAAAAATGTTTATCTAAACATGCAGAACAAATTAAAAGTTTTAAACAAGAGATAAAAGAGACTGACAATGAGCAACAATCGACTAATTCTTTGGATTACATATCATCGACTCATTCAAATAAATATTATCTCATTAGAATTCAATTTGGTTTGAATATTAACACGCGTTTATGTCTCTTTTGTTACAAAAACATGATTAGTTTGAAACGCTTCAACAACTGATCTCTAATTAGCTAGCTCAGTCCGGTCAAAGACTTGGATTTCAATTGCTTATTGCTTTAAGATTAAACAAACACCAAATCTAACCAACAATTGGACACCGACTGTTGAGTTAGACTGTACAATCTTACAATACTTACAACTAACACATTTATCAGGTAAGTATTTGTTGAATGACCCCTTAGTCCTATTTGAGAAATATGCCCATACGTGTAAATATGTGAAATATCTGCTCTATTTTACTTAAATCTATCTTTTTTGCACCTACTAAAAATCAAGATTAAGGGGGTCTATTATTTATTAAATCATGATGGAATGCAAGAGCTTTGATATAAAAATGAGTTCAAATATGCATTTATCACATGATTAATTAAGCAGTTACCATACCGTAAATCCATCAGCCTTGATAAGTACCTTAGATGTGCGACGTATAATTTACGTTTAAGAAAGGTTTGAATTTTAAAAAACATTCTAGACTTTTAAAAACGTTCGATTTTTTATCTCTAAGAATAAAAAATTGTTTTTAAAAGTTTATCCAATTAAAATCGGGTTGATTTTGATAATCATATCAATTTTAAAATATCATTATTTTATTTATTACCCATTAAAATATCATAAACAACCACAAAAATAATATATGGTGTTGCCTCTAATTTAGTGTCGTGAGCCAACACGACAATCACGGTCAATCTAAGGACGTGAACTATCGATAAATCTTATCATTCGAGCTCCCACTAGCTTCGCCATCTTGGTGAACTCCAGACTCCATCTTGATTTCTTGGAATGTCATTTTAGGATTTGGTTTACAATTTAAAAGTAGAAAAATATAACATGTCCTATTTTATTTTTACGATTTTTTCTGTCTAAAAAATTATAATTACAACCCACTGCAATTAATACATCTTAATTTTCCAGAAAAATAAGCCAATCAAACACAATCCACGGATCTTTTGGGGGCATACCGTATATTATATGAATTATAAACCTAAAATAAATAAACATAAATACAACACACCAGATCTAAAACAAATTAATACTTGACAAGAAAATCTCGAATCGACCCGATCACGAGGAACGGCCCATGAAACTTCGCCCCACGGCCCAAAACTGAAAACAAACAAATGGGCCTTGATCCAAAACTCACGACTTAACCATTAGTGCGCAAGGCCTTACCGCACTGCACAAGGCCAGTGGCAGCCAAACTATCACCTTATATTTATATGTACTTAAGTTATAGATGGGGTATAACTGAAATATTTATGTAATTATCATAATTATATTTTAACACATACTTTTATATTATCCTCCAAGAATAATTATTTCAATAATCGACATGATTTATCTAGGGTTTCTGAAAATAGAGCAAACGTATTCTTTTGTTTGTGACCCTATAAGTTTACATACTCGTTGGTAGTGTTCTTGTGTGACATGTATCGTGGGCATATAATAACTTACATCAAGCTCCGCTTGTGGTGTATTCAGCGTAATTTATTCTTGAGGCACTGAAGTGTCTTCAGCAACATTGATTAGTAAATGCCTTCAAAGGCACCGACCATTGTGATAAGTGAGTACCTTTAGTGACATTGATTGTAACACCCGAACTTTTCATTTAATTATAAGGTTAGAATTTATCTGTATTTCCTTTTATGATGTGTTTAAATTCGAATTTGCTTCAACAACTTAGGTGTAGGATATTTGGTGGTGTTTAAAATTCAAGAAAATGGATTTTGAGATGGGAAATGGTGTGAAATGCGGGTGCCATACGTCAGAGCTGTGTTAGACACTGTTTGTGCCCGGGTTGAAGCATGAGGGCGACTTTGATGCAGCTAAACCTGCATTGGGGTCGCATTTGCCACTGTGTGCACCCAACTCGAAGGGCGAGGGAGACTTTGATGCGACTAAACCCGCATCAGGGACACATTGGTCACCTGTTGTGACTTAAACCCGATTTTTGGGACATTTATCTTTATTTCTTCACCCTAACCTTTCCCTTTCCTCTTTCTCTCTTCTTCCGAGCACTTTGGAGGTGTAGGGTCCGATTTTGAGGCTTTGGAGGAGTATTCTTGGTAGATCCAAGAGTTTTTGGTTACGATAATCTCATAATCTCTTCACCCAAAAGGCTATGGTTTTATGTGTACCTCATATTCCATCCTTTTCTGCCACCTTCATCTTATGTTTTGGGTTCCTTTAAGTAGAAAGAATCTTTCAGGAGGCTTTGCAGCTTGGTGTTGGAGAGTTTTCCAGTATATCTCAAGTTTTCTTTAAAAGGTTTGGTTTGGAACCTAGATTTAGCATAAATCTAACAATATGAGTTCTAGTTGCTTTGTAAAACTATATACATGTCAACGTATCCCTATTTTGAGTTTTGAACACATATCTATGATTCATTTCACATTTGCTGAGTTTTATAAGTTGATTGTGATTTGAGCATATTTTGGGTTATGAGCTCCATAGAAAAAATTTATGATGTCTTATTGGGTATTTTGAGACACAGAATGATATTTATTTCATGAAAAGTGATTTACTTGGATGTTTTGACAACTTGAGCGAAAATATTACAACTTGGGTTGTAATAATCTCCTTCGGATTTGTTGGTTTAGTTAAAGGGGTTGGTTGACCCCATTTGGAGTCAAATGTTGTTTTAGGATTTTATACAACCTTCGGACTTTTGGTTATAGCATAAATAGCCTTGTGGTTATAATGGCATAAATATTTAATAAACGCCTCATTTGGCCTTGTGCAGATTTTGGAAATGCAAACCATACAACTTTGGGCCTTTTTGTTATCAAACTCCAATGAAGTATTATTTATGAGCTTGCGGTGGTACCCTTTTGGGTTGTATACGGGGCTATAGATTGCGTTGTATACGGGGGTTTATGCGGTGGTGCTCATGAAGTCGTATATGGAAACCAGTGACTTTGTGGTGATACTCATATAGAGGACGAGTAAACACTAGGGTCATTTCAGGAATCTTGTAGTGGTGCTCAATGGAGCTGTATACGGGGGATCCATGGCCCGAGGTGAAACTCGAGAATGTTAATAAGTGTCTTAACCTTGTGTTCCCGCCATAGTCGATGGAATCGAGTGTTCTCCATCACCGAAAGGTATTTTTTTAGGGTACTTTGATACCCATGCTTTCGGTGTTTTGAATATATCGATTTATATGGTATTCTGGAGTTTACAGCGTACATATGTTTTGGGTGAGTTTGGATATTGGTCATTTGTCTAATACGGGTATTGGAATTGAAAATAACGAGCTTTGTAATGATATTCCTTTCTATGATTTGGGTTTAAATGATGAATCGTTGTTTTAAAAAAGATGTTCGTTTTAAACCATTTGATGTTTTATATGATGAAACTGCTTTAACTCACTAGGCGTTAAGCCACTTTTTCTTATCGACATGTATATTAGGTCTTAGAGGGATCTGAGTGGCATAATGGAGCTTTGTAGAGCTTCAGGTAGGATGGTTCAGAGGTGTCATTCCGTTTTGAAGATAGCAGATTTTGTGATATTAGTAATACCTGACTTATTTAAATTTTGTTTTAGCATTTAGATGATCCATTTAGAACTCTGATATGCATCTTGTTCTCCTTTTGGATAAACATTATGTAGTTTCATATTAAAATTATTTTGTATTGAATGAGTTTTAAATTTTATGCTATTTTCTAAATTTTAGGGGCATTACAGCGATCAACAACAATCTCTAGTGGGCATCGAGCAGCTAGGTTAAGTGTCTGATCTGTGAGCGTTGTTACTAATGCAAATAAATGAGTTTATGATGATGATACTGATATGAGTATAAGTTGGTTAACTTCAAATTTCAGTGTATTCCATCCCCATTTAAGATATACGGAACACAACAGTTCTTCTATGTTGTACTCTCGTTTTTGTATGAAAATCAGAGTGCGAATTTGGATTATCCTAAAAGTGAATTTCGTTAAACCTAATGCTATAACAAGGTCGAAATATTTTTTTCGAAAAGTGTTTGCTGCACGATCCAGTATTTTATCCCAATATGATATGATTGATATATCACAGTACCCTAGATTTAATAAAAACTGCTATTCCAAGTCCAGTTTCTAGGCCTTATCTTATTGTATCCAGATTTAAATGCCAACGTATCTGCTTCTCACAATAGTGTTTGGCAAGTAGATGATTATTATTGGATTTTTAAGGATGGTTGGGAGTTCATCGATCCCAGTACATAAGGATATAAAGCCATTGGTTGACAACCATAAGTAAACTTATTTTTTGAGTACAAATTTAGATGGATATAAGATAGTTTATTAAAACGTTAGATGGAGTAGCGTTTTAGAAGTTTATTGTCACTTTTCCCAATTATAACTCTTATTAATATTAATCATTGTTTGTTACTATTAATTATATTATAAATAAAAATTACGTATTGCTAATATTAATAAATATTAATTATTAATAAATAGTAAGTAATAATAATTAATATGAGTTGTAAATTATTAATTAATTTTAATTATACATTATTATTAATTATTTAGAATAATTATTAATCATATTAATTATTTTATATATATTTTTTTTTGATATATTTAGTTATCAAAAATAAATATAGCAATTCTAACGATGTTTATTCTAAAAATATTTTTGTAAATTACATAATAATAAAATTATACATAATTTGTTTCGTAGATAATAAAATTGGATTAAATGATTTTAATAAAACATTAAATTTAGTTCTTAATTATATTTTTTAAATTATTATTAACTAATTAGAATATATGAAGTTGAGAAATCTTATTGTTATTCATATTTTATGTAATGGTATTTAAAATCATAAATTAAAATAGATTTTTTTCTAAAACTAGTTTTAACAAATCCAAAATTTATAATATATACACATATAATAATCAAATTAAAATAATTTTATAATTAACATATTATATTATTTAATTCTTTTATTATATTATTTGTATTAATTCGTATTATTTATTAGAGATTTGTTTTAATTATATTATAAAATATTACAATTAACTGATTTTCCAAGATGCCTGTTTGGTCATTTATATGTTTATCAGCTAGTTTTCGCAATACATGATACGTTCAACAGCTAACCTATCAACACCAATTAGCTTATTAGTAATCAGTTAATTTACCAAACATATCCAAAGTATTTACAACTAATTTACAGTTTATTTGGAGCTTGTAGTCGATCAATTGAACATGATATCCAACCAGAGGTTTCTTAAACAGTGGACAAACAACAATTTAGGAGTCGTTTACCAAACGCTTAACCGGGTAAGGGTTTATCAAGTCACATTACCTTACCGAATGAATATGATAAGGACCAATAATCTTACCCGGCAAGAGCGAGACAAGGACCAAGAGTCTTACTCAGTAAATGAGGGCAACAAAATCAATCATCCAGGTTGAAGATAGAGGTTCTCTTACAAGAGTCTGAAAGAATTTTGAGCTTCGAAATAAAAGTCAAATGAGGAAGACAAGAATTTTAAAGAACGTAAGAAAAAATGATTCACCTTGACATAAAAAACGTTGGACGAGGATTCACTTATGCATCTTCATATGTGAATAGTTAGTAAAAGAAAACAGATAAGCATAGATTCACATATACATTTTCCCAATAACTCACATATGAATCATCTATTCTTACGTTCTCAACCTTCTTACCATTCTTATTTACCCTATTTACTTGTACTACAAAGAACACATTACAATCAATTTATTGATAGAAAAAGACCTACACAACATCAACATAAGCAATCAAATCATAAAAAGTAACACAATAAATTATCCACAATCAATCTGCGATACACATTGTGCCTCTATAAAAAAGAATGACTGTTCCTCCAATCCAACATCTGATTCTAATCGAAATAACATATTAGATCAACTTACCAATCCGTATTCTTCTATATCGACCTTCACGATGGTACACGTTTGATCCCCTATCAAAACCACGCCATGTATAAATTCCAGGCCAGTTTCCGGGATCCCAGTGTTAGCAAACCTAGTTTTCTTACAGCTTTATTCAGCCGGCTATGATAAAGAACGAGTCAAAAAATCATTAACGGCAAGACTGGCATCTCCATGGGCCACTGCGTCGTCTGGCTCTGGCATGAACAGAGAAGCCATGGAAGCCTGCACATCCAAAACCCAAACCAAACGTTAACTTGCAGAACCAAATCCGGTTTAAGCTAATGGGTATGCAAAAACCGTTCACATCTTGTATTTGGTCAAGTAGCCAAACTGCACGCATTTAGATATTCCCAAATACCCACATACGGCACGGATTTTATAACTGATTAATGTAAATTATATAGCTAATATTTCACTAAATTACATAAGTAGAAGTTAAATATAGAAACCAAAACTATTTACTTGGAAATTGCCGAAAAGAAGGAAAAAGAATCTAACTGTTAAACTGCAAACTGAAACTTTAGCATACTTTAGAATGTCAATGTTCAATTCAAGTAATTCATGATTCTTTAATTTGTCTTGGTTTTTTTAATAACCTAAAGGTGGGGCACACAGACTTATCTTCTACCCCAAATAGTAGAGCGGATGTTTCCATGAATACCCCTAGCATATCATCCGCCATATAATAGTGCAAATGTCATATATTTGGATATTTACGATACAGATGTGGGTACTTGTGTCAAGTTTAAAATTGTGATGCAGAGACACATTTACTGCAACAAGTTGTTACACATACTGTGGTAATTACACATGGATGCAATCCAGCCTCTATAGAGTACAAAGTTATGAGAATATGTGGAACCCCATCAGATTACTCTCCAAAAGAACTCTTGAGGAAAAATGGTCAAAATCTAGCCAATGTTGGACTCTAACAAAAGTCTCGCCACTCAGGATTGGTAACATACCTTGGCATCAAGCATCATCTCTCCAGTATTATCGGTGGCAAGGCATGCACCATGAGCCTTCAACCACTCCGTGCACTCCTCCAATCCTCCTGTATCTTTTTCATCCGACACTTCAGCTGACGGAAAGCCAAGGACCTGAGCCACATATGATACTGGAAGCGTGGGACGATATGAACGAGTTATGCATTTCAGAGCTGCATACCTCATTTTCTCGATATAAAGATCTACAGCAAACACACAATCATTGTTTCTAAGCATATATTCAGGAAACAGGATCCAGCTCAACTGACAGATAAAGGCTACGCCTTGGGCTCCTCCCCATAGGTTGCTGGTTCGAGTCTCCTCAGGGCCCAGGGCCCCATGGGATTACTCGATCTGTGGACAAGCTGGCCCAGACACCCACGGTTACCCAAAAAAGAAAAGAAATGGAGACTCACCCATAAGGCAGGTATTCAGGTTAGGAGCAATCTTGTATAATCTGAAGAACGAGACATAGTTTCCAGAGGTGACGGCTGCACGGACTGCAAGAGCATGTTTTACCGCTGCATCTTTTCTTGCTTCAATCGATAACCTACAGATGCAACACAAGTTTTCACTTCAAGGAATCCACTAGAAAAACAAATATACAAGAACATCTAGGCCCAGCAGATGCATGAAATCGACGCAGTTACATCATGCAACAAACCTAGACATTGCTGACAAGAGATCTCTGTTGTTATTAGAGTGCAAGATAACACAAAGTAAATTGTATGCAGAAAATTCCATATGGCACCCCTTGATTCCTTCGGCATAGAGCGTTTGCAATTGTGATTGGCACTGTAAAAACAACAAACATTGTATCACCGTAAAAAAGTAAACCAAACCAAAACATCCCAACATATCCCACTCTAGGGCAGGGTCTTGGGGGGTGAGATGTACGCAGACTTGGCCTCTACCCAAAGGATGGAGCCGTTCTTTCCATGAAGATGCCCCACTTGTGGAAAAGTGTGATAAAGAAAGTCAAATAAGTAAATACCTAAACAGGCATAATGCATTAAACATCCAATCCAAAAAGCAAGTTGACATCTTCAATGGCCATATTAGATGGATGACGTAAGTCGACAAGTATGCCCAATTAATTGGGGTATAAACGAATAGAGCATGACCATAGTCATGTCCATTGACACTTGTATTGGATGGAGACACGGGTATAGCTATTTCTATTGGATGTGGATTTCAATACGATCAAGATATTATATTCATTTAAATGTTGCTAGATATTTTATTAGACTTACATGAATGATGTATTGATATTAGACAGTTAGTGATATAAACATATAGTTTAATAACCAAAGAATATAACATTGCTTTGATAACCAAAAACATTATTTAGCAAACTAATAATTAAACATACATCATTACTTTTATAATATATTGTCAAGAAAAATATTTAATTTATCATCAATATTATAGGAAAAGAATTTGGATGCCGGGTATTTTTGGTTCTAACAGGTAAAAACCACTTGAAATAGATACAAATTTCAGCTTGTTGAGCGGATTTTTAGATGTCCATTTATGAGCCTACGAATTAAGATCTCATTCAAACTTATGAGTTATGACGAAAACAGTAAATAATGAACAGCATTGAATGATCAAAGCAATATAACTACATTGAGAAGACGAACCTGATTGATTTCGGACAAGTCTCCAACTTCTATTGCTAATCGTGCATGAGTTTCATAGACCTGAATATTGTAGACTAGACGATTAGAAATGATGCCTGTATGAGTGAAATACGTTGATCCCTTCATCCCAAAATAAATGTCCACAATAAAAAAAAAACCACACAAATTTAGAAATGTTTAATTATTGCACTTTTTAATTCCATTCCATGGGTAACCAAACGTCATAATGGAATTTGGTCAACGGAATTGATCATTCCAATTCCATCAGATTCCGGAATCAGAAGAACCAAACGCCCCCTTAGGAAATAATAACTATCGGTTTTTGAAAGTGGACACTTACTTTGGAACGGAGAAAGTAGTCAACTAAAAGACGTGTCAGTTCGCCATTACGGTAAGATACAATAAAGATTAAAGAGAAAATATAAAGCATACCTTGACAGTCAACTCATTGCGTATCCGTTGTACTGTAAGATCTTGCCGAATAGATTTTAGCTGGTCACATTTATATAGGTAGTTCTTTTGGGAATCTTGAACCAGAAGCAAAGCTTTTTCTAATACTTCTTCCGGTCTTACCTGCAAGGGAAGTAAAACTGAGATCACAAGAAGCCACTAATTTACTCCCTCCCTCTCAAAATAAATGTCCACAATGAAAAGACACGGTTTTAGAAATATTTAATTACTACCCTTTTTAATTAACTAAAGGACAATTTTACCATAATAGCGAGAGTAATGAATTTCTCCACCTCATAATTAAGAGTAAAGTTGGAATGTAGGCACTTATATTTGAAAGTAGACACTTATTTTGGGAAAAAATAAAACAGATATACGGACACTTATTTTGGGACGGAGAGAGCATCTATCATTCCATCTCGGCGGAAAATCCTAACAGAAAGAAACAGAAGACTTACAGTGGCAGGATCGGGTGCAGAAGTGAGGCGTAAGTAGCGTTTCTCAATTTCTTGGCAAGTTCCTTTGACAGTAAGAGAATCCCAGTCGATATCTTCAACCGCCCTGCTGGCACCATCACTGGAACTGTTACTATTTGCCAACACAGACGCAGATGCCCTTCTAGTGTACAAGTTTCCAGCTCCAACATTTTTGGTTCTCGTAGGATTATATGCTGCTCGATTGCCATGAGTCTTTTCAAAACGCTTTGAACGACTTTCACGTCTCTTCCTTTCCTCAGGTGAATCCGCAAGTGTAATCGCACCAGCGTAATATGCCGTCAGGCTTTGTTCTTTATCACTATCACTGGATGAGTCACCGTTATTGGATCCACTCCGACCGTCACCAATGTGTTGCCTCTTAGCAGGCCTAAAAACCGCTTTATTTGTTTCTTTCTGATTTGATATATAAAATTTAAGGTGACTAAATTTATTATCCTTGTTCTCCGGTTGTCCTGTTGGAAACTGTAGAAAAACACATACAAATAGGATATATCATGTGGCATCTTAGTTCATTTCAATATGAAGCTAGTACGACGAAAAGCATATTGCTCCTGAGTGTCGCTAAGATGCACTAGAAGAGAAAATAAAATCATCTTATCGAGATAAACAACAGGAATCATAAAACAAGCACATATTGAACCCCATAGAACATGGATATCAAGTGTCAAATTGGACACAGAGATCAAGGTAACGGAACGTGGTAAATGTATTTGTACCTGTACCTGTTTCTTTCCAAAAGGTTAAGTCGGGGATGTAGACAATATTTTTTTGAAATATATAAAATATTAAAATATGGTAAAACTCACATACACTCCAGACCTTTGGTGAGGCTTGAACCATTGACCTCCAGAGAGGTTGGTATCTACCGGTAACCGGGATAACGCCGGGCCAATGACCCTTTGATTGTTGAAAATATTTAGAATCTAAAAACCAAGTTTCAGCATAACATTATTATAAATGGATTCCGGGCCTCAGATGCATCATCACAAAACAGAAGACAATAGGGAGAGCAAACAGAGACAAACACACCTGCTTATCCCTTTCGTGGTTTTGAATGCCTCCACTGTATTTTACACTATTGGGAGTAAAAGATGCTTGTTTATCAACTGGTTTCTCCTCTGGTAAAGGCTCCCACCTACTTTTGGTACGCCTGCTTGGACTTCTTCTGTTCTTCATCGGTGATGATGGAGGAATTGAATTATTCAAAGTACTGTAAAAACAAAAAGGTTTTGAGGACTGATCTACAAGCACAAAATATTTTTCGTGTTCACAGAATAACAACAATGAATGCTCTGAGAGCAGATCAAAGTTTTTTCCGCTGCCAACAATAACTAATGTAAGCGATAAGGCCAAACCATCATATCAGATGAGCTTTTATCCAGTAAGACATATCATCATTGTCTAATCATGTTTAAAGAGGAAAACAAGGTGACCAAACATAAACATATCTATTGTGTACATCCGTCTATACATAAAGAAAAAGAGCGTACTCGTTATTAATCGCATTGGTATTGGGAAGTGGGAAAAGAGGCTCCGTATCCCAGTCTAGGGTACAAAGAGTACCATCAGTACTTGCCTTGGTAATAACCTGAAATAATCAAATAGAAGTCCCATTAGGAACATCAACATACTCTCCGATAAGCAAAGTACAGTTAAGCAACGTAAACATCCACAAAAGTAACATCACAGCATAGTATTACCAAATCTATTTTCATGTTACTTAAACCCATTACAAAAATCTTCAAATTCAACAAGCTTCAACTAAAAGTAGCTCGAAGACCCACCGTAGCAACTAATGAGCATTAGAGAAAGACCACTAGTTCATCAAGCATCTATGGCTTCATTGCATCATTATACATAAAAAAATAACCAATTGATGGAACCAGCTACAATGGATGACAAGTAAATGCAGTGACTAAGGGTCCCTAGATACAACTGGAGCTACAACTGACAAAGCAAGCATGCTTCCAGGGTCGTGAGTCATTAAACAATTTCTAGGGTAGCGAGCAGATCCTTTCTGGCAAGCTTATTACAAGCCAATAGACCATCCTAAGAGGATTGTGGCACACACATTGTTTCTATGAGAACGGGAACTCATGACTTCAAGCTAAGCAATGTGTTGATTGAACAATGTTCCGAAAGGTATTAGAACGTTAGCTTTCAGATGAAGGCAAACATAATATATTGGAAAGCCTTTGAAACATTTAGCAAGTGACATAATAAATTTATGTATAACTAATTAGTTACAAAAACTTGAAGATTAATGTTCATGATACTAAGAAGCGATCATCCATAAAGTGAAGTTTTTGCTTCTGATCCACTCACCTACTTCTGTAGTTCTATTCAACTTCAAGCACTTAAAAAACACTATAACTTCCAACAACTAAGGCTCAATAAAGCTCCTCATTACAATATGCGAAGCATATCTTGATCAAGGCCAATCAATTCTAAGCTGATTAATTGAAGCGCAAGATCATAAAGGGGAAACAGATGTGGCTTTAAAGGTGTTTAAAGAAAGCTTAAGAAGCATGTATAATTCTACACTCTTGACTCCCACAAGCACATGAAGCATATGTATCATCTTAACCCAGACATAAACCAAACCATGTTGTTCATACATTAGCCAGGCAACTTACCTCCTTAAGGACATCTTGACAAGCTGCCATCTGTCTATCATCCTTGCAACGAGCCAAAGCCCTTTCCACATATCCACGCAGTGACTTGGGAAGCATACCAGGCTGCAAGCAACACAATTTTCAGTGACTAGTAAATGATATCATCCATCACTGTACAGAAAGAACTTAACATGTTATAAGTTAATTAGGCCCCATTAGTTCAAATCCAAGGAAATCCAGACAATTATGAGCAATGATTACACTGCCAGTAATAAAACATGTTTTTAACATGGAAAGGGGATGGATAAATGTGAATCAATATTCGTTATTAAGTGTTACTAAAATTGAAACAAACATCTACAGTTGGGTAAACCCTCCATCCAAACTCTTACTGATTCTGATTCACTAAACCGTGCCTGTGGAAGGGGATAGTTTACCCAATGTAAATGACAATGGACATACCCACTAGACTTAAATCATCCCCTGTGTATGGTAGTGAATTTTTAAGGTGATCAGTCACCCTCGTTTTGCATATTCACATGCATGGTTCCATGGTTTTATGTATATCTTATATACGGAAAAATAAATGCTGTGTTCATATGAGATTATTGCAGGTTTTAGTGTTAATCCATTTCCTTCTCCTTCCATGGAAGTCCTCTAAAATCAAACGCTTACTTTTCTAAAACAGTTTGTATTGTTAAAAACAAAAAACGTATGGTTACCCTCATCCCTAATTTACTTCAGTATTTCCATTATCATTACACTTTAGCTCCTCGTACTAATAAGTAAAAACAATACAATGAACTAGTTTCCAAGATTAGATAGGGCAAAGGAACAATGATGCAAACACTCTAAATCAAGGTGCCAGCACTTAATTTGGGACAAACGTATAAGAAAAACTTGCCTCTTAGGACGTTGTAAGAACTCAATTCATATACTCTTCAACCTGGATGTGGGTTCCCATGTCTTTGAGTACACACACACATGCACATAACTATATATACATGTAAATATATACATACACACATACGTACGAGAAGCAGTGTCAAAATTAGTTGACATCAGGAGAAAAATGTATACAGTTAGTAGAAGGATGGGAACAACATCTTTCCATCCTGTTCAGATTTTATGACTCCCTTGCATGCAAGTGGACTGATCACAACTACACTAGACCAGCCGAGGGTTAGCACTACCCCCATTGGAAGACAAAGTGGAGTGCAAAAGCATAAATTTGATGCAGATATTGCCATATTTCTATCACCGCCTCAATCATTCCAACCCCATGGGTCCCAATAGAATGTCAAGAATTGTGGAAACCAATTTATTCATTGCCAAACATAACTGAAAGTCTGAAACACAAACAGAAGCTGCATCTAGCACAGAAAAGTTGGAAGCATAAACGATTTAGGAAGTAGTTACACTTATAAAGCCTACACACTCAAAACTATGCTGTCATCTATAGAAAGCGAGTAGAAACATATAAATCAGACACCCAACTAAATATGGGATGGATTGAACATTTTAAGCATAGCCAGAACTTAACATGAATGTAGAAGTAAAGTTTTTCACACCTCGTACTGAAAGGTGCAACATAATCAACCTTTTAACAAGGGGCAGGTGAGGGATGAGTTGAATGTTGAAAACATATAGCCGGTCTATATTATATTGAAATCATTTAACAGATTAATTTCAGTGAAAATATTTACAACTGAGAACACCAAAAAGTAAAATTATGCAGGCATCTTGAGAGTAATATCTGAGTTATGTTGAATATTAGACAATTCGGAAGATAATGAACTTTATATTAATCATATACATTTTAATGATTTTTCTGTGTATAATGCAACTCAAATGTGGTCTCTCTAGCATGCCTAATTAAAAAATGGTCTACTGGAGGAGGTGAAAGAACTGGGGAACTAGAGAAGTCAATACTTATAACGGTTTGAGAATTTTTCTGTAGCAAACTTACTGCTAAGGAGGTTTACCACCGAGAGGATATTACTTTCTTAGTTGAAAATTTCCCTAACATAAAATATATGATTACAGGCATGACTTAATCCACATAGGGTCTCACCTTAAACGCAGAATCTGCAGCAACATGCGATGACGCATTTTCATTAGTCTTTGGAAGTGAGACACTGATATAAGCTGGCTTGGTCACTCCACCAATTGCAGCATTGTCATTCTTGGGCAAACTCACAGGCAAATTTGACGAGATTCTAGGGTTTGTTGGAATCTGCATTTTGCTCACCCTGCCTGAATCAAAGGGTATTGCAGTTTGCGGAGATGATTGATAAGTCTGTGCAACCTGATGAGAAGCTGAATATTGCACAATTGGTCGTTGAGGGACTTCAGGCTTTCGTTGATCCTGGAAGCTTCCAGGAATAGGATTTGAATCCAAAGGCTTCTGAAAGTTCGATTGCGCGGAACTAACATGATAATTTTGCAAACCTTGACCCCCATGCTTCCAGTATCCTTCTTGAACATTGTTAATTGCTGCACTAGGCTGAGGACAAAATCGTAAAACATTTTAGTCCATATCACAATGAGCTGTATGTATCTCATATAAACATGACCAGTCACAAATATAAAGCAACAATCTACAACTCCATTACACCATTACCAGTTCAGACTAAGGCAGCTAAGACGTGCTGTGCACTCCAACGTCCGAGTCTAAAAATAAAGTTTTCATGAAAGGTGCAGTGCATGCCTTTTTTTCCAGAAGTAGAAAACATTCAAAACAAGCCAATATTCATGGGACAGTAGAAGGATTTCCCATTCCTTAGCCAGAAAAATATTGGCCATAAAAGGCCTTATTCACAAAAGGCAACTTTTTCTAATCGTCATTACAGCTTTACCTAATGGCCATTTCAAGGTTTTACACCGCACCTTGCCTATGGATTACACGGGTTCAAACAAACTGAGCTACAGAAGCAACTAAATTCTTGAGAACTACGTATACAAAGATGCCGGATACAGAGAACAGCGACCACTATCTGTGCAATGACACAATAACCGCTCAAAAATCAAATTATGCCCATCCAGTTACATTTTCTATGTTAGTTCTGCATAATTGATGTGTACTAGTTCTGCATAATTGATGTCTATTAAATAAACAAGTCAGCAAGGAAAACTCTAAGGCTTCTGATGGGAGACATCCATCGCTGTGTTCGTTTTTAATTTTCATCTTGTTTGGTTTGCAAAACCGTTGCTTAGAAACATCAGAAGCATGAAGGTAGCAGCAAGTGGACAAGAAACGGAAGGTTGAGAAAGGGATGTAGAATCAGGACTCTGTAAAGAAACTGAAGAGCTATAATAAGAAACCCCCATCTAGCCCTCCCAAATTTGAGAATTATAAGCCACTTAACACCAAAACCACAAAAAGATAGAAATCATCCCTGGTTCATTACTGTTTGAATTTCTTTCCTTGCTTTTAGTCGTGCAATTTCCATCATACCATGTCAGAAACATGAGAAAAAGAGAAGAATAAGATTGTTAGTTCAACTTGTATGCATATGATAGTTTGTTATCTTTGTTCTAATGATAAACGCATGGAAGTATGTATGTATGGATGTATGGATAAACAGATGTATGCATGTAAGTATGTGTGCATGAATGTATATAAGTATGTATGTACAGATGTAAGGTTGTCTATATGTATATATGCATTATATATGTATGGATTTATGAATGTATACAAGGATGAATGGATGTATGCATGTAAATACACATTCTATTACAAAAGATAGATCTGGGATGTTCTTTGAGTATATGGATAGACACATTAACTCCCACTAAAGTAGCCAATAAGAGAGAACTTATAATTAAAGGATGCCATCAGTACATCATCTTTGCAAGTGGTAGGGAGGCAAGTCTTTATACTAAGTATTCTTTTGTATGGAGCCTTCGTTTCATGAATCGAATCTGTGACCATTCATGCACAATGTAGTGTCTTACAAGTTTCGCAAGCCTCACCCCCATAATAAACAGCTTAACTCCTTTCTATTTGTACACTGTCTGGTATGCATATGGCCTTGTGAACCCATCATTGTAGCCAGTTATTTCATGAAAATTGTAATTAATAACACATATCCGACAGAGGTCCCTTTTACCAAGTTAGGACAACCTTGGGATGTAACGTTTAATCTCTCAAAACAGAACAAAAAACAATGAATGACCCAAATCAATTTACTCAATCTCAAGCTTCATTGACACATTCCTTTTCTTCCCCCTTTCTTACTCTCAATGTCTTAGCCCCTTATCTTTTTGGTTAACCAATTAAAGATGGGGGAAGTGCATATATGTGTGAGTGAGTGTAAGTGTTGTGTGTGTGTGTGAAAGAGAGAGAGAGAAGGGATCTATTCTATCATGGAAGTAAGGAAAAGTAACATGACCAATTAAGATAACATAGTTTAGACGGCAATCTCATTTATCATCGGCGATTCATCAATACTTTATAGGAGAACTGGTTTTAGAAACTTGACTTTGAAGATCTCAATAATTAAATTGTGTGAACTTGGAAATCGTTACCAAAAAATGTTTGTAAATAGGATTGGCATAAGTGCAAAATAAAACACAAACTGGAAAGGAAGATGTTGCCACACAATACCTGAAGGAACAAAAAGAATTTCATTGAGCCAAATTTCTATAAGTGGCAACACTTAGAATAGGAATGGACCTTTACATTGGACGAAATATTAATAAGAAATTAGCTCTGCACATTGAAAATGCTTAAAATAGAGGTAGAGTCATTCCTGTAAGGCACAAACTATTGAATGTATAACTCGGCCAATAACTCAGAAACCTTAAGCAACAAATTAGCAGGGATATTTGAATTTTAACATGGTAATAAATATGATTCTGGGTCACTGAATACAACAAGAAATGATTTCGATAACTGTTTACTTGTGCACAATTAAGAAAGTAAATTTTGGTCATCCAAAAAAAAGTAAATTTTGAGTATTTATATAAAGAAATTAATATCACCAATTTTCTATTGTTCCACGCAACATGTGAGCACCTGGACCGACTAAGCAGGTAGGAATCTGCTAGACTAGTTCTATACTTTATATCCCTGAGGAAACATTATATGTAACTTTCAGGTTACAGGTACTACTAAACACATTCTAAAGCTTAAGGAACTTGCTGGTTCTGAGAATAAGATAATAATCAAATTACAATTAGAACTTCTCAAGGTACAGCAAACCCTGGCAAATAACACAGCAGCTAGGATTGATAAACAATTAACAATGTTAGCTTTATGTATTATATTGTATTTGGATGCAATCCGGATTTGTTCTAAATATTAGAAGCTTGAAAGGCCAGTCAGATATGATTAGTCTCCGACAAACTACAATTACTTTGCAAAAAAAATCCAGGCATCACACTACTATTAAGTAATACGGGAAAAGCAATCCCCAAACCTGCACTGAGGACAGCTCAGATAAGCCAGGTTCTGGCCTCCAAGAGGATGGAGCAGTAGATGGCAGATGCTGGCTGCTTAGAGCAGAATACCCACTAGCAACAGCAGGAAGAGGAGATACCAGATTGGATGCACTGGTAGAAGATAAATTTTCAGTCCCAGGAGCACAGGTCACTTCCGTTTGGCTGTAATAGTCTGTCCATTGTTGTTTATAATCCGGTTGATATTGGAGGGGTGCTGCAGGAGCATTTTGAGCACTATAAGCCATGTTAGATTCTGCAGAGTAGTTTGGATATTGATGACCATAACTTGCATAGCTTCCTTGATTCCACGAGTTTGTCTGACTATTGTAATTCGCACTTGGGTAACCACCAGATGTCTGATAATCACCAGGATTGTAATAAGTGGTTGAATAACTGGCAGGTCCAGCATAGGAACCTGTATTCTGAAATGAGGAAATAGGCTGATGAGGAGCACCTGTGCTTTGATAGGCTCCTGCAGGCTGAGCATATGTTTGATTAGGTTGCTGCTGAGCATATGATTGATTTGCCTGCTGCTGAGGATATGATTGAGTTGGCTGCTGCTGAGGATATGATTGAGTTGGCTGCTGCTGAGGATATGATTGAGTTGGTTGCTGCTGAGGATATGATTGAGTTGGCTGCTGCTGATAGCTACTATAGTAACCTGCATATCCTGTGCTTCCGTATCCATATGGATCACTGTTCGGGTATGCTGCATAGTTGGCATACTCTAGACTAGCTGTTCCAGAACTTGACACAGTGCCAGCAGATGCCGCAGTCTCTCCATCTTGAATGTTTCTTGGGTGGGGTTCTGAATGTTGATCATGGTTAAAGCTGGTACTGGGATAAGTTTTGCTGCCTGTGGCTTCGTTAACAGCTCCGTACATCGTCCAGGATGCGGACTCAGAGCTGGTAGATGGGGGATAACTTGATGGTGCTTGTCCATGGCTCGAATCAACAGCATGATGCTTAAAAAATTAAACGGACCAAAAATTGGTTTTAGTTAATATACACCATCATCAAAAATCAACCAAGAAATCTGGCATCTAAGTAAACAATTAAGCCATGCAGGAGCAAGCTGACATATACAATGAAATGATCACAAGACAGAAGAGGGCTTGCAATAAGTTACAAGGTGAAACTGGAAATGCATAAAGAATATTAACAGCAATAACCACTAAATGGCAGCTCTTCAGCGAAGATGGTGAAAAAGCTTAGTTGTTATTCATTCAGTCCACAAATGGGGAATTAGTGTTTGTTGAACATTGGACACACAACTTAACATTACCCAAAAATGGACTAAGACAATATTAAGGTAATGATTTGTTTAAAAGTTCATAGTAGGCCTCTATTGGTTTCAAAGATGAAAGAGGTGATGTAATCTCTTTGGTCATGTGCTCTCACACGAGTCCTCAGGCATCTGTGGTAGGACAAGTATACAAGAAAACTATTGCCATTTGCCACGATGCACAACTTGTGGAGGGCATTATCATTTAAATCAAACATCAGTGGCTGAGCATCCATAAATAACTAGACCTGTACCTTTTAATAAAAATTGACGAAACTCTGAAGACTCATATGCATCATGGTGCATAACTCAAATGACTCATACAAAACTAGGTAAATTTCATATGACTTCTTTCTTCCCAATGGTTTACGTAATGCCTCAGACAAGCTAATTCATTTGGAACAAAACTTTGACTGGCAACAACCTAATTTTGTTTAAAACTCATTATAGTTAAAGACTGAACCTTTGAACCATAAGAACCAATTCAATGTTGTCTCAACCTTGAAAATCGACTAACCAGCCAACCATATGTAGGAGTTATATACACATGTTACTGTGTTGTTTCTGTGGGTGTCAATAAAGATTAAAAACAAAAAAGACCAAAAAGAAGCTTAATCCCTACCTCAAGTGAATTCGGGTCCAGTGTGGTTATGGTGTCAGTAACGCCTTGATTCATCTTATCATCATTAGCATCTTCCTGCTCAAAACCAAACAATACTTAAAACCTCGAATTCTCATGAATTTATAAACGACCCTAAGAGATACACCTATAATTAATCATAAACAATAAAAACCAAAACCCTAACTAATTCACTTGAAATAAGAAATCAGTTTACGCACCCCAAAAGTCAATCGCGAGCTTGGAATGCAAAACAACTCGTCGCCGACGATTCTGTCAAGTCGAGGGATGAAAAATCCACAAAAACAAGAAATTCAAAAGGAGTATGATGAAGAAACCAAAATCTGGTTGGATTCAAGAATCAAGCAACGAACGATAAAGGGGGGATTAGTGAGAGATTCAACTGGGTGTCTACGTTGGGTCCAATTTGGGGCTCCCGAACGCTGGCGGTGTGCGTGGAAAAGGGGTTTAATTAGGAAGTTTGGTTGCAACGATTAATTCTTGTTTTCAATTATTTTACAATTAGGTCGTCTTAAGATGATTTTCTTTAAATAAATGTAGTTTTTTATTTAATTTTTTTTAAACAAAATCATTATTATATATTAAAAAGGTACTCGCACAATGCAACGCGATATATCTCGATTTTAACATTTCGCGTTATTTCGTCTCTGTATATGTTATAATATGGTTTTGATTAAAATGGATAATGTTTTTACTTTTAAATAAAATATAAATTTAAAAATATCATAAAATTTTCAAAGAATTCGTGTTGACTTTTCGTGTACGGGGAAATGGTTTTAGTTTCTAAGCTTCCTTTTTATGTTTATTTAGTTCTTATGTCTCATACACAATAATGTGTTACAATGCAAATCAAGCCTTTGAATGGAGCAAGGTGGCAGCTAGGGGTGCTCAAAAACCCGATGAACCCGACCAACCCAACCCGAATTTAAAAAAAAAACCAACCCGACCTTATTGGGTTGGTATCGGGTCAGGCCCAAAAAATCCCGACCAGCCCTACAACCCGATGAACCCGACCTTAACTTTAACTTTGAATTGTAGATGACAATCATGACATGACCAACCTCAACGTCAAAAACGCAAAAGCATCGGGGTTGGAAACGTCTAAAACTATTGTTGTTGATTGATGTATTATCATTTGGTTTAAACATTTTTATTGTAATATCTAAATATTTGATGAACTYGCATATTATCTTGAATGGTCGGTCGTATTTCAAAGGAAAGTTT